AGTTTAGACAATGGCTCATTTATGGAAACTACCAGATTCTTCACATCTGCGATCGTAGTTCCAAACCTTGCCTGTGATTTTCCTTGGCAGCCTGACTTAGCTTAGTGCACATGCTCCACAATTCGCGTAAGGCCTTCCCTGCGTGAGCTCTTCTCTGCATGACAGCAGAACCCTGAAAGCTTGCAGATGACAGGCATGACGCAGAGAAGGACATGGGTCAGGAAGGTAGATCCCTTACTGGACCCTGCGGTCTTTCTACCGGATTTTCACCCTGCTTATAGTCCCCCTTAAGTAGATAGACTACGGCTTTGGGTGTGTTCTAAGCAGATCCCCATACACCCCATATTCTATCTACTTAAGGGGACTATAATTCAAAAGCTACCCTTGCTAAGAAAGTCCAGTGACGCCTCAAAATCAGTAAAGCGGCTCGTCCAAACGCATGTCCTCTGCACCTGCCTGCACGCTAGGAACCAGGGGTTATGTAGGGGATATGGGGGCTATATAGGGATAATGGAAAAGAAAATGGAAGCCACTATTTTAGGATTCAGGGACATGAATATTTTTGAGCCTTGAAGGCTCCCCCTCAGACAGATCCCAATTCGTATGCGGCCACTGGAAAACTGAGATCCTATACTTCCTAGGGGCTTGAGGAGGCACCCTTTATGGTGACCCTTGAAGCTTGAAGCTTGGAACCCTAAACCCTAAACTGTAGGGGATTTAGGCTTAGGGTTTAGGACTTGGGTTTCAGGGCAACTGATACATCTCTGATATCTCTGACCGAGCGAGATTCATCCTCGGTGTTCCCTTCTCCACCAACTATCCTGAAGAGGACTCCCCAAACTGTAATAGTGACTATAAGGCATCTTCGTGATGATTTTAGGGTCCTCTTGTATTCCTAATGTATATATCACTATCACAGGGTGGGGGGTCTACCTAACTTATATACATGTGAAAATGCTAAAGGGATCCTGCACTGGGACCGGAGGTTTCAAGCATTGTGCTGTACTAAGAGTTTAGGGTCTAGGGCTCTAGGTTTAAGGGTCTAGGATGAGCATTTCTGGACAGTGTAAGCCCTATCACGAACAACAGCAGCCACATGGGAACCTAAATACTTACGACTTGGGGCATGTCAAAGTATACTAAGATCTATGAGGACTTCTCAGTCACAAGGGTCCCTATCCAATTCTTCAGGTTTATCTTTCATCCCCACACTTGAACATTCATGCAAACATTAGCTGTCGTGAGGAGAACATATAGTCCCCCTTAAGTCGATAGGATATGGGGTATAGGGGGATCTTAGTCTAATATGCCCAAAGCCATATTCTATCTACTTAAGGGGAACCATACCCCTAAACCCTAAACCCTAAATAGTAGTTTCCATGTTCCTTTCCATTATCCCTATATAACCCCAATAGAACCTTAATATTCTATCTACTTAAGGGGGACTATAACCTACTCTGGAGACCTGCCTGCTCTGAACTTGCCCAATCCTAGCCATTCCTCTCAAGAACGTTGTTCTGCCCGTGCTAGGATGCAGCATCCCTCCCGCGGCAACTAATCCCCTCCCCCCAATACTGAACTGTAGATGAGAGGTATTATTAGTGTTCAGGGCTTAGGCCCCCAAACCCCCCTTTTATTAAATACTCCCATGTGGTATATTACAAAGTATTCGCAGTATCTAATATTGGGGGGTGGGTGGGCTTAACATTAGGGGGAGGCGACTACTCTGACCTTTAGCTATGCTCAGTTGCAGCAACTCAGCTCAGCCTCGGTCACCTCCTTTTAACTATCCAGAGCTGTACAGAGGCGCAAGGCAGGTGCAAGAGGGGCTCACGGGCGCACGCTGCACCCTAAGGCCCGTGGGCGCATTTCAGTGTGCAGAGCAGGGGTCAGGGATAGGACAGCTGGATGTGCTCCTCTGTACCATCATACGCATCCTTCGCAGGCCAAAGCTTGATCACGGATGGGTTGCACCACACACCTTTCGTCGTTTATTGTTCTCATGATGCTGTGCTCTACTCAACTCCATGCAATAGTCTATCAAAGCTCGTCTTCAAAGGCTACGTCCGCACCCACGGCACCATTGACAGACAATCCCCCTCTGCCGCTCAAGATCAGCACATGCGTCACACTTGTCCCATTGTCTGTTAACCCCAGCTCACACCCCATCTAAGGAATCTAAAGTATAAGGCATTTACTCCATCCTGCTTCTCCAATCTACATGTCAATGGCGGTGCCACCCCAGGCGTCCTCCCAGATCAGGCGCTTTAGTTCGCGAGCCACTGGACCAACCTCATGAGCCAACAAGAGTTGAGTAGATTTTTTGGTGGTTTAACCAAGTAAGATTACATTCCTCCTATAAGATACTATACCCCAAAAGGAGAATGTAATCCTACTCTATATTGGGCACCATAATAAACCAAAGTTCAACACTACTCCTAAACCTGGTGATGGTGGCCATGGTGGTGGTGCGGATGGCGGTGGGGGCGGTAGGGAAATCAAGGCACTGACTGCGCTGAACACGTTAACAGTCACACCCACATTAGGGTTTAGGGTCAATCCCCTCAGCCCATCAACCAATCATACGGTCGGTGAAAAACGAGGATTCCCAATCGATGCTTGCGGGCCCTGAGTCCAGATGACAATCCAGGACTTGATGCTGCAAGTGTGGCAAGATGGTGAAAAATCAAATGTCAGGCCTCCCCGTTACCCACTCGCTGGCCGTCTAGCGTTGTCACCGGAGAAACGCCAAGATCACCAGAAAGCATCATAACCTCACAGGGAACATCATGCAAGTCCCCTTGCACTTGGCCTGTTGCAACCCCAAAGCCACAAACCCCCAACCCTCAACAGCATGTTCACAGCCCCTGATTACACAGCCCCTAATTACCTTCTTTTTACGTGACCCTGGCTGGATGATTACATCCAGCTCCTGATTCGTTGCACTATCGGTAGTGTTGTCACTCATGACATTGCCTCCTGCGCAGTGAAAAGCTGCTCTTTGCGCATGGTCTCCTGGCGGATCTCGTGAAGAACCTGCCAAAATGTCCAGATGCTGGTCGTGCAAACAGCGCATGCGCTTTAATGTTGGACCTCCTTTATTGAAAGGCTCCCCTATAATGAGTTTTGGGGCCTGCAAATTCAGGATCAGGGCAATGATTGCAAGGCCCCCTATAATGTGTTTTCATTGTGGGGGCCTAAAAATATAGGAAGGATTCTCAACAAACCCTTTTAAATCAATCCACACGGACCTCAGAACCATGGGAGCTCAGGGGGCCGTGTTGAGGATCCCTAAGTTCTATTCGTCTTTTTTTCGGAGGGCCCTTGTGTAGGGGGGGCTACTGATTAAGGAGGGTCCCACATTATAAACTTTGCATACATTAGACTATCTCGATGTAGATACATAAACCTATATGTGGCAAACCGGAAGGTAGCAACAGCTACAGAACAACAGCAGCCCAGCCGATTGTCTTCAATATTTGCCTTCCCATCCGTTAACACAAGGAATGAAGACGTGGATGCTTCTAGGAGTCCCTATAGAACCCCCAGTAATATAGTAGGGCTTAGGGTTTAGGGATTAGGGCTTCTTTTCCATGCCTTGCTTCTCTACTAACCACCAAGGTCAGGAAGCTTAACCGCCTAAACCATATATGGCCTTGCAAACGTGCAGTTTCCATTTCTTCCCTCATTTGATTTTCACATTGATTCTCCAGCGTTTGGGAAAATATCCCGAAACCCTGGACCCCAAATAGTAATTCCATTTCATCTTCTTTTCCATGATCCCTATGTAACTGCTATATACAAAATACCATAAACCCTATACAACCCTAAACCCTCTGTACAGCCCCAAACCCTAAACCCTATACAACAACCCTAGACCCTATACTCTATACAACTAAACCCTCAGCCCTAGAACCCTAAACATTTACAACAACCCTAAACCCTATACCCTATACAACCCTAAACCTTCAGCCCTAAACCCTCAACCCTATACAACAACCCATTTTTTGCATCTATACAACAACCCTAAACCCTATATCCTATACAACCCTAAACCCTCAGCCCTAAAACTCTAAACCTCTACATCCCTAGGCACATGGCCTTTGCTTCGCCCACCAGGTGTTTCTTCGCCAACTCCATGGCCTGGCCATCCCCCAGGGTTTAGGGTTTAGGCAACAGGGTTTAGGATTTAGAGTTTGGGCTTTAGGATTTAGGGTGTGGGGTTTAAAAAATTAAGGTGATTTTTTTTGTTTTTCTTAAGCGTTCCTTTTGAACCTCTGCAGGAACCGAGGCCGGCGAGCGGTATCTGTGCTACACGGGCTTAGGGATTAGGGTTCAGAGCTTAGGGATTCAGGGATTTATGGTTTGAGGCTGTAAGTATATGTAGACATTATACAAGGACTGTTACGGATTTACAGGGTTATTTGAGGATATATAAGGAGTATATAGAGATTATAAGGATATGCATGGACACTGGGCTTAGGTCTCTAAATCCTAAACCCTAAACCCTAGACCCCAAAACCTAAACCCTGAGCCCTAAACCCTACACCCTAAACCCTCTAAAAACCCTAAATCCTTTTCTAGGGTTGCTTCCCCAAGAGCCACGCCACCAGGCCTTGCGCACAGTCGTCCCCGCGAGGATGCCATCGAACCTCTGAAGCTCTAAGGGTTTAGGGTTTAGGAAGTGGCACGGTTCACAACAACAGAACGTACAGAACCCCTGTATAACCCTAAGTTCCCATTTCATGTTGCATTTTCTTGTCCCTTTGAGTCTCCATAATTTTTAGGTATACGTCCCTATCGAAACTCAAATAACCAATCCCTATAGAGTCCCACGTAACCCTAGAACCCATTTTGCGAAGTTGCGGCGGCGTGATGAAGACTTTGTCCTTGGAATTCGAGAAGACATTGAATAACATGGCTAACTCCATACCGTAATCCCTCTGGACCTAGCGTCTAGAAACATTGTCTTCAACAGTTCCTTGAGGCTATATACAAAATTCCTGGAGGATAGGAGCATCTTCGGGGAGAGGACATTTTGCAGCATGTTCCAGTGCTTCGTATCAATCATGGGAACGAACTACAGTAGAATCTACAGGAGGTTCTATTGGCTCTTATACTCCCGGGAAAAAACAAGGGGCTTTAGGAAAACCCTAATCCCTAAACCCTGAACGCTAAACCCTGAGCCCCAAATCATATCCTAAACCCTAGCCTTAATTCTAAACCCTAAACCCGAAACCCTAATTTTGTTAAGTCAAAGCATCCTTTGTGATAATGGCACAATTGGCCACGCAACCTTCTGCCACCGTGCCATCGTCGCCTGACAGTGGGCCAAAAGCAGAAGAACATATAGGGATTATTGGGTTTATCTGGGGAGCATATGAAGTTGTATAAGGATGATAAGGGTAATAGGGATTATAGGATCTGGAGGGATTATAGGGAAAGATAGGGATTGTGACGAGTCATATTGGGATTATGAAGGTAAAATGTGTAGCGTGTTCTCCATCCGCTTGTTACATCTTGATCCGATGAATAGCGGGGCACCCTTCAGATTCGAGCTCTTCTGACTCGAAAGAACGACGAAAGATAGAGAGCGCCAAGAGGCGGATGTTGATTCCATAGCAGCCTCCACGCTCCTGCCGGGGAACTATTCTATCATCCAGGGGAAGAGACAACTGCTCACATCATATCCCGAGCCTGTGCGGACATGGCCAAGAGGCAATTCAGCAGGTAGTTGTTGCTCTTCAGCGTAGCAAGCAGGGTCGGCTTCATAGGAACCTCTGGCGCAAGACCAACGCACCAAGCACTGCAGATTCGTGATTGCAGGAGCCCAGGCCTCGCTTTGAGGCACCGTGGCCTCGCCGATGCCCTGTCGCAGGTGCATCAGGCAGCTGAATAGAAATTCTGAATTACACCTCCATAGGCTGCTGGGTGTATCACCATATAACCCCAATATACTAGAGTGGTTTCCATATCCTCATATAGCCCCCATATACTATAGTGAACATCACAGTCAGCTCAGCACCTTGATGTCCTCGGACTTCGAAGACTCAAGCCTTGCGAGTGATGGGTCGGGGCTTCAGCATCCCGATGTAACTCCCTTTATAATCCTAAGCTTGGGTACTGCCCCCCCCCCCAGTAACAGTCTATATTAGGGGTCCTATTAAGGGCTATATATATATATAACCATATTCTATATTCATTCTCCAACTGTTACTGAGGGGGGGGCAGCACCTAATCCTAAGTAGTAGTTTCCATTTCATTTTCCATTATCCCTATAACCTCCCTACCCCTTTATGATCCTAAATCTCCCTTCCCTGGGTCCAAGCTCGGTCTCCATTTTTGACGAGGCGCACCGTGCAGTAGAAGGCCGGCTCACATCCTGCAGGTGGTACAATACCAGGGTTTAGGGTTTAGGGTTTTAGGGTTTAGGATTTTGGCTCAACCTCTCCCCGTCTTGAGCTCCCTTCCCCGTGGCAACGAGAGAATAATCGAAGAAGCTTGCTGGGCTGAATTGCAGGAGAGGAAAACAAAGTAGAAGGACTGCAAAGGGGACCCCAAAACAGGGAATCTCAAGAATATAGCATTCAAACAAGGACCCTTCTAGGTATGTCCCTATGACATTCCCACTATACTCTTAGGGTTTCCTGTCTTGGGGTCCCTATAGGGTTTAGGGTTTAGGGTTTATTTGAGAAGCCCTGTCGGGCCTGCAGGAGTGAACCCATAATTCCCTGGGCCGGCGGTCAGGAAAAATCGGACACCTGGCAGGAGGGGGTATATGGGGGGGATATATCGGAGGATATGTGAGGGTATGTAGGTGTGTATCGGTGTTTCTACATACATATAGAGGAGTATATAGGGTCAGGAGGAGACCCCTGTATCATAAACCCAATTGGAAAGGCTGACAGAACTATGGTCCCTTTCTTGGACAGCCTCACTTCCAATATTAGGAGCAGCGATAGAATGAAGACCCAAAGAGGGACACCAATTTTGACAACCCCAAACCCTAAACCCGAAACCCTTTTTGCATGTGGACTCTGAAACCCTGAATCCTAGACCCTAAACCCTAAGCCATAAAACCTAAACCCTAAACCTTAACCCTAAATCCTTTTTTCCCGAGGTACTTGCTTTCAGACCCTAAACCCTAAACCCTGGATCCTAAACCCCAAACCCCAATGTTGCGCTCTCAGCACCTCCGTCCCGTAACCCGCTGGCCACGCAGGTCTGGCAGACGATGTCCTGAATGCAGTTGTCCGTCAGTACCACATCGGAACATTATCCAAAATCCAGATAACACTCATTAATCACTAGTACGAATAGATAATGATAATAGTAGTAATGTTGCTACGTACACTTCTAGGCAAGTACCGCCGATCCCCGCGTCTGAATTCATATTTGCTTGAGTGGGACGAGGCTATGTGCTGGTTGTGTGCAAGTTATTCGGGGAAAGACGCGAGAGAAAGAGAGAGAAACAAAAAATGGACTCACTGAATGCCAATTCAAGTTCTGGATTGCTTCACTGAACCTGCCCCAGCTACATACCTCCGTGTTGAGGGCACATGCACAGCACACTGTAGGCATTGATGCAAATTTTCTGCCGTCGTTCAAAATGTGCTTTGCACCACGGAAGTGCAAACAAGAGTCCGTCATTCTGCTGCGATTCTCCTCCTGCGCTCTGCCATCTCTCGCTGCAGACAAAAAAATACGCTCAAAATGTATGCCTTGAATAGCGCCATTATAGACTAGCTAGGTTCCCCAATAACCCATTAATGATCAGGTACCATTTCTCCTACTACTCAGCTTTAATCAGCAGACCCCAAAATAAAAAGGGAAAAAGGGTACCACTGGGGTACCTAGCTAGTTAAAAGGCTTGCCCAGTGAGATGCGGGCAGATGATTACAAACAGGGTAGCTTACTAGGACCCACCGCGCCAACAGTGTTCCACCATGTTCGGCACCCAAAACTTACTGGGGCTTAGCAGGGAATAAGGGAATAGAATCCCTATAGACTATATTCATATTCCCTACATAACCGTATATTACCCTATCTATATAGCATCCCTATACAATCCCTTAGTAACTTATTCCCTTATTTCCTACTAACCAGCAACCCTAAACCCTAAACCCTAAACTTTGTCAAAGCCATCCTCGGAGTCGCCAAAGGGCAGCTTCAAACGACCCAGCTTGGCACTTTTGAAGAGGCGGTCCAGGTGGATTCCAAGCCTGCCATTTGGCAGGTTTAGGGCTTGGGGTTCTATAGGATTTTATGGGGTTCGTTAGGGTTATATAGGTGTATATAAGGGTTGCAAAGGTTTATGTAGGGGTTCTGTGGGGTTGTAAAAGAATAATGGAAAAGACAATTGAAACTTATGTTTTGGGTTTAGGGTGGAGCCGCAGCTCAACACAGATTCACGAAAAGGCTGGATCACATTGCCAGGAAGCCTTTCCTTGCTTGTGAGATCTTGCATCTTACCCGCTCCTGCCTGAAGACGCGACCCTTCGCCAAGGTGCACGTGTCGAAGATGGCATGCCCCCTGGTAAACTTTGGGGCTCAAAAGTGTCAGCATTGCTCGCGACATAGGCATTGAAAATGGCTTGTACTAGCAAATGTAAGAACCATTACGAACCCGCCCGTCCTGATGATTGCATGGTCATCAACGGGCATGGCCTCATGACAGGCCAGAACCACCGCAATTTGCACTAGAGCCTAAACTCCTTTAAAGGGGGCTTACAGGGGAGTACTATAGGGGTTATCAAGGGGGATACTAGGAGTTTAGACCCTAAACCCTCAACCCCCGGGGCTCATAATGGGGGATGCTACGAGTTTAGACTATAACCCCTATAAACCCCTATATAATCCCAGTTCCATTTCATGTTCCAGTTTCTTTTCCATTTTTTGATTCTCCATTATCCTTGGGGTAATATCCCCACACATCCCAAGACTATACCCTAAACCCTAAACCCTGCTCATTTGCACACTTCTGTGTCCAAGGCTCTTGGACTGGCATCCGCCCAAGGCATTCTCGCATGTTTTGCATTGCAGGGCATGAACATCCAAATGCTCCACATAAAGGAGCATAGGGGGTGATACAGGGTTATGTAGGCCTTACTTAGGGTTATATAGGGATAATGGAAAAGAAAATGGAAACTAATTGCTATTTAGGGTTTTAGGGTGGACGGCCAAATGCAGCTCGCATGCCATCAGCTCTGGATCTGTGATGATGCCATCCACAAGGGAAGAGTACATCGCCTTGATGAAGTGACCTTGCAGCAGTCCATCATGCTCACGCTGGCGCATTAATTCCGTGCTCCTCTATGCGTTCAGAACTTGCTACATAATCCCAGTGTCAATTTAATAATCGATGTTGTTTTCCCTTTGATTCTCCATTATGGGGGGGGCAAGAACCCCCTAGACGGTAGTTTTCGCTCGTATACAACCCCTACTCAACCCATATAACCCTTGCATAATTGTTTTCAGCCCCTCTAAAGGCCCTATAGAAACCTATATAATCGTAACCCCTATTTCATCCCGCAGAACCAGGTAAAGTCATGTATTTCGGCCTGCAGCCCCGGAGCTCCGCCGCATCCGCGCTGCCTTGGACCTGGGATTATGGATGCTTAAGGTTTATGGCTTAATTAGGGGTGTAAGGTCTAGGTTTAATGAGTGGTGTCGGGTTCAGGGGATTTATTGGGGTTTAGAAAACCTAGAACCCTAAACCCCGAACCCTAAACCCTAATATAGGGGGTATACAGGGGCTAAATGAGGGCTACATAGCTTCGGAGGAGCAGTATTTGCCGTGCTGAGAGTGCGGAGCATGATCATTTTGGCCATCTGGACCATAGTCTAACCTCCTAGTATCCCCCTTAACAGGCCCTATAATAGTCTCCTACATAATGCCCTATATAACCCCCTTAAAGGAATTCAGACTATAGCTCATCTCCTGCTGTTACTGCAGATTTCCGTAGTCAGTTCGAACGATCCCTGCTTCAGATGGAGGTATACCTGCTGATTCCCAGAGTTTGCCCCACACATCTAGGTAGCAATGCTTGTACAGAGACGGATGCAAATCATATCCTGTGGCAAGCCCGTTATGCTGCAAGTTGGCCATAACCCTGATAAACCTAAGCCCTAAGCCCTAAATCATGTTCCGCACTGCTGGCTTAGCTTGAGCATTTCCAGCCTACGAAACATGGGTCCACAGGATAGATAAACCGAACCAAAGACCCTATTACTTACAACCTATACCCATTATGGTAATTTAATTGCAGTTCCTTAACAGCAACCCAGTAAACCTAGAATCTACAAGCAGTGTATGTTGATTCGGTGCGTCGCTGTGCTTATGCCATCCTACAAGCGTAAAGATTCCCGCTATCCCGGTCATCTCTACTGCTGTAGGCCTGAACCATGCATGCGCTAACCCTACGCCCTAAACCGTAGTTTCCATTTTCTACTCCATTGTCCCTATATAACTCCTGTATAGCCCTTATATAACCCTATGGAACCCCCACTTTTATTACCTTCATATAAGCTTTACCTAAACCCCAAAAGTATATGAAATAATAGCCCTACACCCATAATAACAACCATAAGGGCCATTATTCTACTTACTTTTGAGGAAATCTCCCTAAAATCCCCATATAACCCCAATATATAACCCTATAATACCATAGTAGGTTCCATTTTATTTTCCATTATCCCTATACAACCACCCTTTGGGGTCCAGGTATAGCCCCCTATTTCATCCCACAGCTTGGCGCTTCTCGAAGAAGCCATCGCGGTCAAGGACGGCCAGTTCTCGCTTCTCGCCTGTTGGAGCCGGAGCAGGTCGGAGGACACGCAGAAAACCCCCAAACCCAATATTCAGGGGTCATAGGGGGATATATATATATAAGGATACCAAAAATTAAGGTGTTCTATGGGGATATTTAGGGACAAGGGAAAGAGAAACGGTAACTACTTTTTAGCTGTTTGGGCTTAGGGTTTCGGGCTTAAGGTTTAGAACCCAGAGCCAGCATCAAGAAGTGCTCATGATACAAAAAGGAGAAACCCTCAAAAATCATTGTCTTGTCCATTCAGTTTTCCATTCCTGGGGAAATATCTCCCTGACCCAAATCACAATCCCTAAGCCCTAGACCCTTGGCCCCTAAACCCTATACCGTTTTTCCCGGCCTGCAGATGCCATGGCCACCGCAGGAAAGGCCCACCGAGCCCGAGATTTGCTGCGAGTGTGCTTGGCGCTTCAAACTTGTTATGGCTCAATTAAGGATTTAGGGATCAGGGTTTAGGGTTCAGGGATTTGGGCCTTAGCGTTTAGGGTTTAGAGCTTTGGGTTTTGTGTTTAGGGTCTAGGGTTTAGGGTTTAGGGATATCATAACTGGCACCTACAACCTAATTGGAAGTACAGTTGGGTCGTAATTACCCTGGACCTCCAAGCAGCGGTGGCAGTTGGCTTCACTGCAACCGGCAATGCAAATTTCGTCTAGAGAAAGTGCTACTTCCCTGCCTACTATGGAAGTTAGACGATGATTGCGTAACAGGACGCCAGCTATCTACAGTCGCCAGTAATCCGAAGAAAACCGCCTTTGTACAGCTCCCATAGCCTACCTCACTTCACCCTAAACCTTCCATACCCATACATATGTCACGAAAACCAGGACGAATCCCTAGAAAGACATAGCTCACATGGCCTCCCCTGCGAGGGTTGCAACCGCAACGCCAGCAATTGCCTCCGTGGATGCTTGGCAGCATGCTACAAAGTCAGGTCTCTTCTTGGAGGACCAAGCGTATTTTGTAGGGGTCTCAGATCTGTATGCAGAGAGGATAGGGGCTAGATACATACATTTTTTGTGCAATCCAATCGAGATTGGCCTTCTAGTGGCTGCTGATAGGTCATATCTATAATCTAAATCTAGATTCTCACAGCACGAGCCAGCAGCAAACGCACCCGATGCTGCCTGGCAGCAAGGCTGCAAATAGCTCTGATGTGAACTGCGTAGATTCCACTACCCATCGCCCATGCAGGGAATTCTGTGGACTGCCTGTCCGCCCCGACCTACCTGCATGGACGACTGCATACTGTAGATTCTAGAAAGGAGAAACATTAGATGGTGTTATCGTTACCCAGGGCCCCATGTGTAAAGACGCCCTTGAATGCTGCAGTATTCGAGGCTATGTTAAGAGCGACTTCCTTTCTGGAAAGTAGCCGGACATTAGGTAGACCCCGCACCCAGTAATAGTGG